AATAAAAAAAAAAAAAAAAAAAAAAAAAAAAAACCACACACACACATACAAATTTTTAAGACAAACAGGAAGAAAGGTACTTGTGACATATACTAGACACAACTGATTAACATCCAGAATATATAAAGAATTAGCTTAAAAAAAGACTACCAAAAAGATAAATGGGCTAATGATATCAGTTAGCCCATGAAAGAAACACAGATTAGCAATAAACATATTAAATATGTTCAGTTGTAATCAGAAAGTTACAAATTAAAACTCCCAGATAACATTTTGTCTTTCACACTGGCAAACAATCCATAATAATAAACATTTTTAAAACTAAAATTCAATAGTATGAAGCCCTATGAAAGTAAAATATTCCTACTAGGTTTAATTTAGGTCCAATATTCAATGTTAATAAAGGTAAACTAGCCTAGTTGGTGCCTAATTTGTCAACAAGAAGTCAAAGAATCTTTTTAATACCCAGAGGATCTGGCAGAGAGGATATGAGAGGGACTCAGAAGGAAAAAAACTAGTCTAATAGAAAACATCTATTTTCCATTTGTGCCTTACGTACCAGTATGAAAATGGACAGCAAGGTGCACTACTAGAGACAATATAATGCTTTTAACTTTCTAAACTTGATGAATTAGTGGGCATAAAGAGAAAGCAGTGCTAATACCAAGTATGCATAAACTAGGAGTAGAATAAAGTTAGAAACGGACTCTAGAGGGTCCTAAGTGCTAAGTTAATGGAGTTTTAATTTTATCCTGTTTGTGATAAGCAGCCACTGAGCTGCTAGAGCTGAGCTTTCAAAAAAATTCACCTGGCAGTAGTAGAGAACCAGGGAGACTGGTAAGGAGGCTGCTCTAATAGTTGTGGCAAAAATCACAAGTCTATTAACAAACACTGTAACCTTTAGATTGCTTTAAAATTCTGGTTATGGACAGAAAAACATTTAAAATATTTGAAAACCAGTAAGGGATCCCATATTCATTTGCTTCATTCTCAAACAACCATAGCAGCAGGTATGCTGTATAATGCAGTGGCATTTAATTATTAAGAAGCAAAAACCTTAAAATTACATTGATCAATAATCTCAGACATAATGCTTTTTTTTTTTTTTTTAACAAGCTTTGGCCAAAAGTGATTTTAAGATAATTAGAATGTGACATTTTGACAATGTAACAAAGAATGACTTAAGGGGTATAATAAATGGGTTTTTTTAATTAACTGGATAGATCAAATGTTAAAATGGATGTCAGAGGAATTATACATCCCAGAAGGTTAACAGCTCACTGATTGGAAAATTAGCATGTATTTTTGCTCCAATGGTCACTTACTTTTCTTTGACGGGTCCTGCCTGCCCGCCTCACTAATGCCCAGCAGGGATCCAAATGGGGAAACTGCCTCATGCTCGTTTCAGCAACGTCTCTCCCTGCTATGGATATCCATGGCAGAAAATACAAAGAGGCAGAACATTTCCACAGGAAAGTCTTACTGTTCTTCTGGTTTCAGAAGAAGGACCACTGCTGCCTATGTACCTCTTCCTATTCCCAAACTGCACCCCTCATAACAAACAACCAAACAAAAAACCGCAAAAGACAAAGATCCCCCAAAAAACAAAACAAAATACCTCAACAGAAAACTAATAAGCAAAGCCTAGAAGTTCACTCAGAACTCAGGCTTAACTGCTTATCCAAATTCTGTTCTATGCACATAAATTCTTCACTTCATATTTTCTTATTCTTATTATGGTATTTATTTATAGTTCCTATAAAAAGCTTCTCGGTTTCCAATAAGTAAAGTTCGAGTTGCACTGGAAGACAGATAGGTAAAAGCAACTCAGGTATATGGGGGCATGTGCTACCTAATCAAGGACAATTACAAAGTACCGAGTGTGGGTCTGTCTGAAAGTTCTGCACTGACCAGCAAACATGAATGCCTCTTGCTTAGTGCCATACAGCCTACGGCCACTGGAGGTCAGCAGAGAACCTGGTCCCACCAGGGGCTAACTGATGGGACTTTCTAGATCCAAGGCAGCAAGCATGACCACCAAAGAGAAAAATGAATTCTACTCCCAAAATTCTCCAAATGGTAAGACTGCAGAAGATGAGATATAATGATGATGCACAGTTAAAGCAAGGCCATGTTCTAATTGTGTGCATATGCATATGTACACATGTGTCTATGAGTGTTTACAAGTTTTGGAAAACAAACATGTATAAAGAAGAAAATAAGACCCACTTCCAACCACCACTGGAGAAAACCATTATTAACATTTTGGTTTGTATTTTGGTAACTTTGAAGAAAAGTTGCTTAACTAGCAGATATATTTCAATTCAGAAAAACTAAACTCTGAGGTTAGTAAATAGGAAAGTGATAGCATCAATACTTGCAGAAAGGGTTTAGCAGCTTGGGAGAAATTCCTAGAGAGAGTAGAGCATTACCAACACTCTTAATGGCATGAAGGTCAATATTGTATAGAAAAAATAAAATTCGACTCAGTTGAGAAATGATGCACAACAGTCAGTCTCTGAGTGTAAAGTTGTTTAGGAATTACTTGAACAAATTTATTTTCCTTTTAAGGCACACACATTAATGACACAATTTTAAAAAATCTATTTCTAACTGAGTCTAAAATAGTTTTTACAATAGGTATAAAAAAATTCTAAGTGCCCGTATCTCTCACCATGAACAAAAATATAGGGGAAATGCTTCAGAACACTGGTCTGGGAAGATTTTAAGGATACGGCTTTAAATGCACAGGCAAAATAAGCAAAAATAGGCAAATGAGATTATATCAAACTAAAAAGCTTCTATAGGGCAAAGGAAACACTCAACAGAGTGAAGAGTCAACCTGAGAATTAGTGGTGGAAATATCTGTAAACTAATCATCTGACAAGAGATTAATATCTAGAATATACAAGAAACACAAGCAACAGCAAAAAAAAAAAAAATCCAATTTTAAAAAGGGCATAGCATCTCAATAAACATTTCTTAAAAGACATACAAATGGCCAAAAAGTATATGAAAAAATGGTCAGTATTACCATTCATGTGGTTACATGCAAATTGAAACCACAATGAGATATCATCCCACCCCACTTAGAATGGCTATTAACAAAAATATGAAAATAATAATGGAGAGGATCTGGAGAAAGGGAAACACTCATATGTTATTAATAAGACTGTAAAGTAGTATAGTCACTATGGAAAACAGAATAGGGGTTCCTCAAAAACTAAAAATAGAACTACTATATGATCCAGCAATTCCACTACTAAGTATTTATCCAAAGAAAAGGAAATCAGTATAGCAAGGACATATCTGCACTCCCATGTTTACTGAAGCACTATTTACAACAGTCAAAATATGAAATCAACCTAAGTGGCCATCAGCAGATGAATGGATAATGAAAATGTACTACATATAAACAATAAAGTACAGCTCAGGACTGCTCTGCCTATCGAGTAGCCATTCTTTTATTCCTTTATTTTCTTAACAAACTTGCTTTCACTTTATGGATTTCTCTCGAATTCTTTCTTGAATGAGATCCAAGAACCTTCTTTTGGGGTCTGGATCAGGACCCCTTTCTGGTAACATCCTCCTGGCGAACCATGGAGGGATGATACTGAGGAAACCCCCAACCCAAAAGGAAACAGACTGCAGCAACAACTGGCCAACTCTGGGTAAGCAAGTGGGGTACCCGGGTGAAGGATGAGATTGGGTTAGAGGTCCAACTTAGGGGAGTCAGAGTATCTCCTAAAAGAGAGTGAATTAAAGGTCCCTCTTAATAAAAGGCAAAGACATTTGATGGAATTGGGGTTCAAGGCCCAACTTAGGATGGTTAGAGTCCTTCCTAAGATTTAGGGAGTGAGAGGTCCCCCTCAGTAAAGTCCCTCTCAGCTAAGAATGGATTTGGCATTATGGGATGTTAACCACTATTCTCTTGCCTTATACTCTTCCCTGACAGCTGTGGGTGACAGGATCACTGGACATAGGGAGCTTTTTTAATTCCCGAAAGGGGAAACTTGAGAGCTGGTAAGACTGCTGGAGAACATCTCATTGCAACTGACAAGTGACTGCCTGAACTTCTGATTCAGTGTCACTGCAATGAGTGGGTCTTTCTCTGGCCTCCCTGAGCTCCTTGCCTTCCCCACCTTTCAGGAAGCAATGCTTTTCTCCCTTTCCTATCTTTTCTGTTACTCAAGATGACAATCTTGCCCAGAGACCACATAAGGGCAGAGGTTGGATTAAAGATGACAGGGCCTATCCAAGGGCAAGTTTGAGCCTGGCCAGTTCCATATTGCATACTAAGCAGAGTGGCTACTGTAACAAACCTGGTATACTTTGTGCTACAATTTTGTCTTTCCATATTGCTCTGTCATTCAGAAGAATACCTTAGCACAGAACACTGGCTTAGGATCTCAAAATACCACTGTTCAAGCCAGCCTGGAAAACTGGTCAGTTACAAACTGTGCTGCAATTTCCTGAAAAAAAAAAATAAAAAAAAAAAAAAGTTGTTTCTTTCTCATCTTGTTCTGTCTTTGGGAGCTTGACCTCGTAAGAATGGGACAGTACTTTCTCTTGGTCTCTGCCACCCAGGGAACAGGAATTTTGGGGTCCATGTCATAGTTTGCTCAAAAAAATTATCTTAAGCAGTTAAAAGCCTTTGCAAGCTCAAAGCTGACTGCTCTAGGCTCCTTCAGGGAAGAGCAATGGAAACTGCCTAATGCTGTAGCTTAGTAGCTAAGGCTTTCTCTTTCCACAATGGTGGCACAGATTCAGAGTTCAATTCCTG